TAAAAAGGTTGATGAGGACTGCATCACCTGGATCAAGAAGCACTACCCCCGTAAATAATTCATTTTCTGATCTGTTATTTTCAGAACACTGCCAAAACTGTGGAAAATTCAACACTATTTATATGTGAGCACAGTCTGATGTCTGCCTGTCATATCTGAATAATGTTAAAGGGACAGTTAGTCAGAAATCATCAGTCTAATATGATATGATATAAAGTGGAGATAGTGGAGTCTAGTCAGTTAATTTCTGACACCTCAGGTCAGAAAGAATGTTCCTCTGTGGTTACTACAGATTTAGGACTTTTTTTAATGGAAGCAAGAAAGAATATTTTTTTAAACTTATGGTATCAAAAATAACTTTAAAACCTTGTCGAATGACTAATTGCTTTCAAGTAGCTTTGTAATAAATGAAAGAATGACCCTTTTTTTTTTTAATGATACCGGTGTGGCATATTTTCTCAGTGAATATAAACTCCCTCTGAATGTGTGTATTGATTATTAACCTGCGTCTCTGCATGCTGCAGGTGACTCTGGCATTGTGTACTGCCTGTCCCGCAATGACTGTGATGCCATGGCTGAGAGTCTGCAGAGAGCAGGGATTTTAGCTCTGTCGTATCACGCAGGCCTGCGTGACAGTGACAGAGAATATGTGCAGACCAAGTGGATCAATCAGGACGGCTGCCAGGTGAGGTCACCACTGCATCACTGTTATTAAATAAATATTACTAGATAGTACTGGATACAAAGAAATTAGCATAAAAATAAAGCAGTAGCTGTTTAAATGTCTTAGAGTGCACATTGCTCCTGTTTCACTGTTTCTCTTTGTCTGCCAGGTCATCTGTGCCACCATAGCCTTTGGCATGGGCATTGACAAGCCTGATGTGCGCTATGTGATCCATGCCAGTCTGCCAAAGTCAGTGGAGGGTTACTACCAGGAGTCTGGGAGAGCTGGCAGAGATGGAGAGATCTCTCACTGTATTCTCTTCTACTCCTACACCGACGTTCACCGCATCAAGAGGATTATCAGCAGTATGTGGCCATAATATAGACCTTTCTTCTTGCAGGCAAAAGTTTAATGGATCGTTCTAGTTTTGTGATTTGTGTATGTATATACTATATATGGAGTATTTATTCATCCTATCGTCAAGCCTGTAAAATCATTCAGAGCATGTTCACTTTCCAAATGACAACTGTATACAGGTGCTAGTCATATAATTAGAATATCATAAAAAATTTGATTTATTTCAGTAATTCCATTCAAAAAGTGAAACTTGGATATTATATTCATTCATTACACACAGACTGATATATTTCAAATGTTTATTTCATTTAATTGTGATGATTAAAACTGACAACTAATGAAAATCCCAAATTCAGTATCCCCGAAAATGAATATTAATATATTAAGACCAATACAAAAAAAGGATTTTTAGAAATGTTGGCCAACTGAAAAGTATGAACATGAAAAGTATGAGCATGTACAGCACTCCCGATACTAATACTTAGTTGGGACTCCTTTTGCCTGAATTACTGCAGCAATGCAGCGTGGCATGGAGTCGATCAGTCTGTGGCACTGCTCAGGTGTTATGAGAGCCCAGGTTGCTCTGATAGTGGCCTTCAGCTCTTCTGCATTGTTGGGTCTGGCGTATCGCATCTTCCTCTTCACAATACCCCATAGATTTTCTATAGGGTTAAGGTCAGGCGAGTTTGCTGGCCAATTAAGAACAGGGATACCATGGTCCTTAAACCAGGTACTGGTAGCTTTGAAACTGTGTGCAGGTGCCAAGTCCTGTTGGAAAATGAAATCTGCATCTCCATAAAGTTGGTCAGCAGCAGGAAGCATGAAGTACTCTAAAACTTCCTGGTAGACGGCTGCGTTGACCTTGGACCTCAGAAAACACAGTGGACCAACACCAGCAGATGACATGGCACCCAAAACCATCACTGACTGTGGAAACTTTACACTGGACTACAAGCAACGTGGATTCTGTGCCTCTCCTCTCTTCCTGCAGACTCTGGGACCTTGATTTCCAAAGGAAATGCAAAATTTACTTTCATCAGAGAACATAACTTTGGACCACTCAGCAGCAGTCCAGTCCTTTTTGTCTTTTAGCCCAGACGAGACGCTTCTGACGCTGTGTCTTGTTCAAGAGTGGCTTGACACAAGGAATGCGACAGCTGAAACCCACGTCTTGCACACATCTGTGCTTGGTGATTCTTGAAGCACTGACTCCAACTGCAGTCCACTCTTTGTGAATCTCCCCCACATTTTTGAATGGGTTCTGTTTCACAATCCTCTCCAGAGTGCGGTTATCCCTATTGCTTGTACACTTTTTTCTACCGCATCTTTTCCTTCCCTTCGCCTCTCTATTAATGTGCTTGGACACAGAGCTCTGTCAACAGCCTAGCCTCTTTAGCAATGACCTTTTGTGTCTTGCCCTCCTTGTGCAAGGTGTCAATGGTCGTCTTTTGGACAGCTGTCAAGTCAGCAGTCTTCCCCATGATTGTGTAGCCTACAGAACTAAATTACAGTGTGGCACCAGGTGTCTTCAATATTGACCCTTTTCACAATATTCTAATTTTCTGAGATACTGATTTTGGGGTTTTCATTAGTTGTCAGTTATAATCATCAAAATTAAAAGGAATGAACACTTGAAATAGATCAGTCTGTGTGGAATGAATGTATACATTATACAAGTTTAACTTTTTGAATGGAATTACTGAAATAAATCAACTTTTTGATGATATTCTAATTATATGACCAGCACCTGTATATAAGACTATTTATTTATCACAGTGGACAGAGAAGGTGACAGACACACCAAGTCGACTCATTTCAACAACCTACACAGCATGGTGCACTTCTGTGAGAACGTGATGGAGTGCAGAAGAATTCAGCTGCTCGCATACTTCGGGGAGTTGAAGTTCAACAAAAGCTTCTGTAAGGAGCACGCAGACGTCAGCTGTGACAACTGTTCCAAACCCAACGTAGGAATCTTTCTGTCCGCGTCTTTCTTTATTCATTACAAATTCAAGAACCTACCTGGCCATTTGTAATCAATCAGCAATGTTTTGAATATTCCTGTGTGCAGCAATACAAGATGAGAAATGTCACTGAAGATGTGAAGAAGGTGGTGAGGTTTGTCCAGGAGAACTGCGAGAAAGTCGGAGCAAGGTTTGGCAAGACTGCTCAGCAAAACCGACTGACACTGAATATGCTGGTGGACATCTTCATAGGTAAAGTACGCGCACATGCTTGCAGTAAATAGGCATTCTGCAGCTGTGAATATTGCATGATGGCTGTATGAAAAGTTGTCTGTGAGTGGTCTTAATGTAGGTAATCGTGTCTTTCTATCAGGGTCTAAGTCTGCCAAGATACAGACAGGAATGTTCGGAATGGGAGGAGCCTACTCGAGGCATAATGCTGACCGTCTCTTCAAAAAACTGGTTCTGGACAACATCCTGGTGGAGGATCTCTACATCACTAACAACGGCCAAGCTGTGTCTTATATCTCTGCTGGACCCAAAGCTATGAACGTGCTGTCTGGGCGCATGCAGGTAACCTGACATAGATTGCCTTAACAGCAGCATGGGGAGCTAGAAATATGCATATTAAACACACTCTGGCAATCGTGTCGTTGCAGGTGGAGTTCTATGAGACAGAGAGCGCTTCGAGCATCAGGAAACACAAAGCCGCTGTGGCCAAGAACGTCTCCCAGAGAGAGGAGATGGTCCAGCAGTGTCTGAAGGAGCTGACGGATCTGTGCAAGCAGCTGGGAAAAGCATTTGGCATTCACTATTACAACATCTTCTCCACCGCCACCTTGAAAAAGATAGCTGGTAATTTCTTAAACACGCAGTAAGGCTGTCTTTTTAAGTGCTGCAAAAGCTCATTTAACAACTAGCACTTTATAACATGTCACACTTTTTTTCACATGAACAGAGAAGCTTTCTTCTGACCCCGAAGTCCTCCTACAAATTGATGGTGTGACAGAAGACAAACTGGAGAAGTATGGAGCAGAAGTCATTCAGGTCCTACAGAAATACTCTGAGTGGCAGCTGCCTGGTAAGGGACCCAACTCAAATTTTTGTGCCTAACATCCTTCACTTTCTTTTAGTCTAAACATTGTGGTATTAACCTCCATTATCTCTGTAGAGGAGCAGACTGACGATGGTGGAGACGGCTGGATAGACACGACACGAGGACGCTCACAGGGAGATTACAATGACGAGGACGACACTGAGTCCTCCACCTACTTCCATAATCAGGCTGCACAGGGACAGAAGAGAAAGAAAGCTCCTTTCTTCAAGTATTCCAAGAAGAGAAAGGCATATGGCAACACAAGTACCAACTCCAAAGGGTCAGTAGTGTGTTTGTCTCATGTTTCATCAACTAGTTTGGGATCATATTTAGCAGAAAGCTTCATACCTGAAACCTTATTTCCTCTTTTCTTCCTCTGGCTTCTGTCTTGCTGTGTGGATTCAGTCGTGGCTACAGCAGCAATAAATCATGGTCATCATCAAGCTCCAGAGGTGGATCCAAAGCTGCAGGCCGGGGTCCAGGAGCTCAGCGGGGGACGCATCAGTAGGCAGGCGGCCAGGCTTCTTGTCCGCCCCAATCCCTCAAACCAACCAGCGACCCTTCTTAAAGCCAGTCTTTTCACACTTGGACTAGTGCCATCCTCTGGATCTGAATTCCTAGGACAGCAAAGTACTCAAACCAATCTGTCGGTAATTGTTGTAAAGTTTGTGTCTGTTAAATCTCAACTGTTTATTGAAACTGCTAAAATTGTATTTTTATGTTCTGTACAGTTACTGTCATGGTGTCCGCATTTCATATTGATTGTTGTTATGTAAATTTTTCACTGTCCATTTTTATATTAAAGACTCATTGAAATTTTATGATCATTGTTTCAACTTGTCTACAATTTTTATTCTGCTAGAGAAGAAAAGGCTGAGCAGAACTTGTGTTGTACCACAAAGCAACCGGGAGCCACATAACATTTTAATCAATGTTTATTTCAAGTTTGAATAGTTTTATTTAATGGCACCAGTTACAAGGGACTATTGGAGAGAAACAATATTTTATACTGACTTGTACAGAAGGTTACCTACAGTACAAACATGGGTTCGGAATGGATCGGGCTGAACAAGAACTGGATTTGGCACATGGATTTATATATATATATACTTGTATATATAACGTAATTAAACAGCAATCTCCAATCCCAGGATAGAACTATGCAGACTTCATAACACACCACCAGACATGGCTATGCATAAACACTTATTGAGGTGTATGCACGGTCATGTAAGGGTCTGTCCACTGGGAGGCAGGCAAATGGGCAAAAAGCAGATCAAGATGTCCTCGGTTATAGCTAGTTTCATCTATTGACCCTTCAGTTTCACATGGGCACACAGGGATTTTGGCCAGGAATAAATTTTAGGAAGCCAATTGTGTATGTCACTTGGTTTTGATTAAAGTTCAATTGTTTGTTATTCTTTTTCATCACATAATTATCATAAACCTTACAAAATTATGTTGCTGGAGAGCTATTGACAATGTTTGAAACTTGAGACTTTTCTATTAGGATATCTGATGATTGCATCACACATGATTGATGATTGAAAATGTGTAGCAAAACACAGGGAGTAGACAAAATAACAAGAACACCTCACAGTAAAGTTCAGCCCAATACAATAACGGCACAAAATACCTCAGAAATTACCTGAAACATCTCTGACACTGCCTTTGTAAAAATGTTATTTGACAAATGTGGGATTTTCTGCTTGGTTATATGGAATTACAGTGTACCATGCGGGTGTTTCTGTTATTGAGTCCATCCCATGTGTACTGAACACAAGATGCTTCATCTTCCAGTGCACCACATTGTGGGCTTTTTGCAAGGCTGTACCTTCACTACTGCTTTACCGGGAAGGACGAGCTGTTTCTGACTTATTGTTATTCCCGTTCATCAAAAGTCACACATCTGGCCAGAACTGTAGCCATATCCCATGAGGTAAAAGAACTGTAAAATATGTAAACATGACACGGCAACTAAAATCGCAAAAAAAAAAGTCAGCTTTGTTACAGGAAAAAACGCCTGTAGAGACAAATTAAGACAGATTTCGGGCTGCCTGCTGTACATTACAAACAGTTCGACACAGAGGAGAACACTGTTTTCCCCTCTTGGCCTGGGGAATTTAAGAATGGAGCAGTCAGTAGTACAGTTGTTATGGATGTTGTGTCTTTCGTTCTCCATTCCTTCATCTTTGCCAAACTGCAGAGTTAGGATCCAGGCACAGGGAACAATCCGTCACTTAACAATGAAACAGCAAAGAAAACAGCAGAACAAACATCCACACAAGAGGTCTCTAAGGAAAATAGATTTTTATATATATAAAAAAAGGTTAGGCTATTCATAAATGCAACGGTAACTAAGTGTCTCAGTGGTCACATTATTGTTAGAGTCAGCACAACAGCAGTTTTGGTAAGTGGTTTTCTAGAAACAGAAAGGACATATTTGACTTCCTTAGGTTTTCGTATACGTTTTTAAATAACATATTTTTGCTCTCACAGCTAATTATTGCTCCTTGAATAATGCTGCCTTTAAAAAAAATGTAATTGGTGCATGCTCAGAGAGACCACTGAAGCTACATAATGCTGATAGATGTATGAAAAACACCTTTGCCGACTGACCTTTAAAAGGTGTCCTAATAACTCATCCTGGCTGGACAGGGCCAGTCATGTCGACCTTTATGTCAGTAAAGAAGTAATAAATGTGAAGTATGATCATACACCAAAAAAAAAGTCAACCCGCCCTGCTCTACCTGCTGTTAGGTGAAATGTGCTTCATCTTTGCATCTGGATCATCATTTTTTTTTCTGGCTGTTATCTGAGTTAAAAATGATTAGCATGACATAAATGAGCTCCTACACTTTATGTGACAGGTTTCTTGCCAACGTAGCTCTAATGGTTTGATGCTGCTCCCTCTCCTCCACAGATAACAGCGGTTTGTAGGAGATAATGAGCTACAGGAGTGGATCCAGCCACAATAACAACGTGCATGCTACTCTGTGGTCAGGACTACAATTTAGCAAAGCTCAGATTACACAGGAGCAAACAAAGTAGGTAGCACCATTCAGCCTTCAGTGGAGCAGCTGCAGGTGCTGGTATGAGAGTGTGGCGTTTGAAATAGCAGGCCTTAAAACAAGCAACCCTGTACAGCCATTAGAGTGATGAGTCACCAAGTGTCTTCCATTCCCAATTTTTCTTAAAATCCCACTTTCCAAGAAGCAGACTGATCACCTCGACCTCTCTCGGAGGCCTCTGAAATCCCTCGCTCTTCTCTACTCTCATTTCATACTTTTCTTTTTTTCCTTCCTCTAACTCCTTCTCGCCTTTTGCAAAAGATGAAAAATTCACTTTTTTTACTCCTCTCTGTCTAAACCTCCACCCCTATCACCTTGAATCTTGTTTCCATTCCTATCACACAGACACACTTACACCTGCACTTGGTACAGGAGGTAGACACGCAATAAAACAGAAAAAAACAAAAACGGATTTTACCCAGAATCCAGCAGCCGTGACAGTTATTGCTCCCTGGAGCTGTGAGGCAGAAGAGTCTAGAGCCTGACGACAAATCTAAGAGGTATTATTCGCCGATATTGGCTTATCACAGATATGTTGGTATCTGCTTTCATTTTGGCTGATATGAAAATTAAGGGAAGAAAGTAACTGAAGTACAAAATTCAGAAAAAAGTGCATGAGGTACCTCAGGAACTGTCATCATAGTTTTGTCAAGAAATCTCCGTTGTTACCTTCACCAAAAGGGGTTCTGTTTCCAGTCCTATTTAACTGTTCATTTTTAATTTATTAGTGAAGTAAAGTGTTTTGCTTTGGGCTGCAACTAACGATTATTTTCATTATCGGCTAATCTGCCCATTATTTTCTAGATTACTCGATTAACAGTCCAAAAAAAATTAAAATGTCAGAGAATAGTGAAAATTGCCCATTATTCTCCGTTTTTCAGAACCCAAAGTGACAAAACAGCAGAGAAAAGCAGAAATGGAAATGCCGAAAAAACAGAAATTGTTACGATTTATGTGACAATTTATTTATTTATCAAAATAGCTGCCAATTCATTTTCTGTCAATCGATTAACTAATCGTTTCAGCTCTAGTTTTGTTTGTTTCATACATTTGTAAATGCATTTTAGTGTGAAGATATGCCGTGTGCATCGGTCAGGCTCACAGTCATCTCTCCAAACTCTTCAAGTAAAACAAGATGTGGCAAAGTTATGAAAAGTGAAAATGTGTTTTTGGATTATTTGGTATTTGTGATGGTAAAAATGATACCTCCAGATGCCATTCTGTAAAAATACATGTTGAAGGCTGATTCACTGCTGGTGGAGCAATGAGGTGTGATCAGTGTTGAGTGGATCTGGATAAAAACCCTGTTTTCTTTTAGCCCCTCCCCCTTCCACATTTCTATAAATTCTTCGGACCTTACTTGAAACACAGCGCTAAAAAAGGTATAATTTAATCTTCCATAACAAAATAACATTTCAGTTCTGTTAAAATATACATGAAAAACCTGTCAATATATATTAGGAAACAAACTAATTTGTACAAAAAGTACATCATTATTCTTATTCTAATAATAATAATAATATAGTATGATACATAAACCTAAGAGCAAGGTTGATGAAACCAAAATAAATCATAAACTCTTCATACAAAGAAATTATTGAAATTCATTGAATTTCAACTTGATGAAAGAATGCAAATCAAATTAATTGGAGAAATAAGAGAACAACTGAACAAATGAGCACATTCAAAAGTACTTAATTATTAAACCATATGAGCATTGCACATCTATCTAGACTATTATCTATTGATGCCAGTGAATCTTTGCTCGCCATGAATATTTCTCTAAACGCATCTGACACTACTGGGTCACATAACACTATTGGTTCTGGTTTATTTTACTGTATCCTTAGAAAATGTTAGAAAAAACAACTTTGACCTTCGCCAGTTTACTTTGTACACCCATGTATACTAAAGTGTAATTGTGTCTTAAAACTATCCTCAAAATTCAAAACTGCCAACAGACATCGACATTCTCAAAACAAGGCATTTGGTAATCTATTCTCTGAACTCTCTCATGAACCTTCACTATTCAGTCACTTCCCGTCAGGTTGTTCTGTTTTTCCTGATGAGGTGAATCTTCTGTTTGTCTGATGGGGATGAATCAATATCAAAAGATGTTACACTACTTTGCCTCACATAGAGTATACTTCACAGCATCAACCCTATCGACTCTAACATAACTCACTTCCATCTTCATTTGTTAATGACAAATCAACTTCCTCGATTACTTTCCATCACCTCTTCACCTTTTCTTATGCAAATACATGTTTAAAAGTAATAAATAAATGATGTCAACGTTCATCTGTTGCAACAAAATCTTCCGTTCCTATAAAAGGAACTGTTTAAAATTCTTCAGTTCTTTGATTTCAGTTAAAAAAAATTTCCTTTGTGTTATTTGAAAAAATAAAATACCTGAAATGACTTGAAATAAAAATAAAAAATGCAAAACATGTCTTCTGACTTTGTAGGAAAAAAAAAGAGGACGAAAACAAGCGAAACGAGGAGGTGGTTGGGGGGTTAACTCAAAGTGGAGGAGGGGAAGAGAGATCCTGGGCCCCGGTGTTACCAGGAGTGGTCCAAGCTGTATGCCTGCAGGAGGATGGTGAGAGAAGCAGGGTTCATGGTTGGGACGAAGCTGCCCTCCATCACTCCGGAGTCTTAACCGTCATCTCAGACCCCCGAATGGGCTTACGAACTCTACGACCTCACTCTCACTTGTTAATGAGCAACCCGCCCACCCAGCGGAGCTTGCAGGCAAACCACCGCCTGAGGGGACAAAAGTATTCGTAATGGAACTGCTCAAATTCGGGGGTCTGGCGGATATCACGTAAAAATGCAATGTCAAGGTCTGACTCAGTGAGGATGATGAGGAGGAGGAGCAAGACAAAGAGGAGTCCAATGGTCACAAGGAGCAAACGGAGGACACTTAAGACAAATTTATTCACCTGTTCCACCTCGCTGAGGGTTGAGTTCCCTCCTGCACCTTCCTGTGCAGATCTACCGTCCGCACCAAAATCAACCCCCTCCCCGCGCATGGGGGTGCCTGCCTCAGACTCCTTCTCCTCCTCGATGCTGCAAGGTGCACCGTTAATCTGGCGAGAAGTGGCCAGCTCCATGCTGTGCTCGGCTACCGGGGTGGGCAGGACGCTGATGGAGGGGCTGTAGGCCTCGTCTGAGATCACCGCAGTCCTCTCGCTGGCGTCTGTGGCCTGGCTCCGGGAGCGTGGCATGAAAGATTCCCCGTGGGACACTGAACGCACCGGTGTAGAATGGGCACTGTCACGCAATGACTCTAGACCTTGTGAAGTGAAGTGGTTCAGGGAGGAAGAAGAGGAGGGGGGAAACAGACAGGAAGAAAGGTTTATTACACACATTTAATAGCATGAAAAAGAAAAAGATTACCAACATGACGTCATGTGGACATTCATCCTCTATAGCAGAGTGGCGTTCACAGACACAGCATACTGCAGCTCTGGCTGTAAATGCTCAGAGGTCTGTTACGCAGCACAGACACACTGTCTCCAACTTGAGAGCAGAAATCTGATCATGCTTTCCCCAGAGTAAAGCAGACAGGGGGGAGTATTGTCATTGTACAGAATGCTCTAATGGAACAAATCATCACGTCCCACCCGCTATGGGAAAGTGTGCATCTCATTCAACAACCGCAGAGTGAAGAAACCCAAAGTATACTTTAGAAACAATAAAATAAACCAAACCTACTTCCTGATAAAACATCCTCTCTTTATCTACTAGCACTTTCTGAGCCCCAATTTCTAAACAAACTGATGCTATAGGTTACATCGCAATCTCACTTTGGATATTACATGTGTGTTGTTTTAAGATAGAATGCTGACTTATGCTTAAATGCCTGTAGAAAATGTATAATCAATCTGATTGCATCAGCACCCAACAACACACCCAAAGATTCCTTCCTTATTAAATCACACTAAAACAAAAATGGCGCACAAAAATATTTTAACCTACAACTGGGAGTGAGCTATCTGGATAAAATCTTCTATTACAGTATATGTAATCCAATATTGAGATTGTAATTTTGTCTATTGGATAAATAACAAGCCAGGAATGTCTGTTTTTAGCAGATAAACACCAAACAAATGAATGTACCAATGCAACATCGCCCACGGTGGTCTTATGCAACTGTAGATATTAAAGGGAGTACAGTACAGCAGCTACCTCGGTAGAAATAACATGGCAAGATCTGAGACAAATTTATACCTGTCCAAAACTATTCAACAATGCGTTAGCTTCAAGGCACGACAAATATTGTTTACTGTTACTGTACAACTGTACAGTTCATGCTGAAGTTACAGTACAGTATGTGAGAGCCTCACTGCTTTGTATATGTCAGCGGAGATGAGCTGTGGTTGAGCCCTTTGCTGACGATATCACATTCTCCAGAGTGTCAAGGCGGCAACATTACACCTTCACGATAAAGAGAAGGGATTAAAATTCAGCTTTTGATGAGGAAGCAAATCATGAAAAGGACTTTTTTTAAAACTGCAGGATGGGTATGACAGATTATGTCCAGCGTCTAAGCCTCTGCTCCCATCTTTACTCAGTGTTGATCTGCCTCAGCCTTTCACAGAGCAGAAAATGCATTGCACACTATAACGTAGCTTTAAAAGAAGCACATACACCAAATAAACACACCATACCGCTTGAAATAATGTGTACTGGTTTGAACCTAATATAGCAGCTACATAAAGACTCCTCCCTTCTAAAATGCACTCAACAAAAGAAAAGAAAAATCAAACATGCCTGTCCAATTACTGAGACTTCCAGGGGACACAGACAACCACCAACCAGGCAGAGACAGATTTAAAATTGAGAAAGCCATTGGTACGTCCATGTAAAGCACACCCCTGGCTGGCCCTGTGGTGAGTTTACCTGGAGGGTTGCTTTGCTGAACACAGGGCAGCGGAGTGCCAGGAAGAGGGGTGACGCTGGTAGACTCCTGCTGCCCCGTCAGGGCAGGGTAGAGGGGCAGGACGCCCAGGGCCTTGCCCAGCATGCGAGGCCCCAGGCTTAGCACGCGAACCTTTACATCCCGGTAGCAGTGGTTGATCATACGCAGGTGGACGTTCACCCGGGTGGTGATACGGATCAGACATTTCACCATGGCTACAGCATGCACGTGTTTATCCCGTCCTTATGGTCCCTGTCCTGGAGTCCAGGCCACAGTCTCACTGTGTGTGTGTGTGTGTGTATTAGACCAAAGAGTTCTGCCTTAGTTGCAGTATGCAGGGGAGGAGTGTGCGAGGTAAAACGGTGGTTTTCTGCAGCAGTCTGGCTTGGTGCGGCCCCACCCAGGCCAGTGACATACATGGAGTAGAAGACCTAGGCTATTTTCAGCTAGGGTATTAATACCACTGTAAGATACCCAGTCAGCACACCCTGGGGGTGGGAAGCTCTTATGGCTCTCTTGAACTCCGACTTCTGACTTCTATTTATCCCAGTGTACAAAGAGATGTACTTGAAAGACAGGGACAAACAGGGCCAAAGCGTCTGCCTGCTGGTTTTAACCAGAGCCATGTAGGATAGTATGCCTGCTGCATCCATCTCAGTAACAGCGGAAGTGAGGCCACCTGTTTTGTTTCCGGGCCTGCAGGTGGGCTGAATGTGTGACTTTAGCGGCCACTGTGTTGGCACAACAAATACACAATTGCTCATACACACAGCTCTGAAACCCTGCACTGAAGTGGAGCAGGCTGACTGACGCACACACCTGCAGCACGCCCCGCTGGCACTGTAAGCATGAACTGGGTCAAATGGCTCGTTTTACAGTAAGCATGTATGTGTGTGTGTGTGTGTGTGTGTGTGTGTGTGTTTTCTCAAGAAGGGGAGGAGTTCTCACAAATAGGACTAATGGTTCCCTGATCCATTAAAAATGTTGTGCCAGCTTGGTTGTTGCAATAACACCATTATCCATCATTGTATCGGAAGAGTGGGATTATAACTGCTTCCTGGATAGTACTGAAACAACAAATTATGTGTTTCAGTGAAAGAGAATGACATGTAAACAATACCATGCTCACTGTAAGGCCTCTAAAGAACATGTGACATTTTGAGAAAAAAAACAAATTATGCCCTTGGCACTTCCATGGCCGCTAGGGGATTTGTTGCTTGCTTAGGCCTGGTGAAGCATGGTGTTGAAGCTCACCCTCCTTACCTACCCTCCATGATGGATATGTGTACAGCTCTCCGACGCGTGCGCGGTACACTGCTGAGGCGAGGCCCGTGGGTGATAGATGGACAACTTCTGCTGGGCACGAGGCCAGCCCTGCAGAGGCAAATAGAGATACAAATGCACAAACATCACTGCACAGAGAGACAGCTCCGAGCAGAGGTTACTCATACTGTAGCCAGTAGGTGCTGCTGATATAAAGACATCTACAGTAGCTTGGTGCCTAAGAAAATGGAGGAAAATTAAATAAAAATCTGATTGAGGACATTCTGACCTCTCCTGAGTTTACAACTCTACCTGTGTATTTCTGGAGGTTCGCGTTTGATTTTGGCACTCTGCTCCATCACCTCTTTTGCCACTCGCCCACTGTTATAAAGCACAGAGACGATGCTCAGGATGAGTTTCACATACACACACACACACACACACACACACACACACACACACACACACACACACACACAACCGGGCACCCTGGTTTCACCCAATGCCATGAAAGCCATCACTGCAGTGGATGAGTACAGTACATGAGCGTCATGACTGAATTAACCCAGTGAATTCAGCTTTGTGCAGCTGAATTACCTCCAGTCAGACAAATGCACACACAGACCTGCAGGCAAAAAAATATCTAAACAATGATCATGTTTGCCCTTCAACGATAAACTCGACATTTAACTGACTGGGCTTGTGATTTCAGTTCATATGCCATATATGCAGTATGTCTCTCCATATATGAATATTATCAGATATTTTAAATGCAACATTTCTTTCCATCCATTTAATCTTGACCTTCCAATTATCAAATATGTTCTTAAAGGAGCAGATCATCCAAATTAAAAAATATTTTAAAGAGTTTCAGTTTTAACTGCTGTGGTTTTGACATATCTATGTTCTCCCACCACCCACATAAGGGCTATTTCCTTAGCATAAAGTAGTTCCAACAAAAGTCGCAGTTAAAAATGTTAATGTCATTTTTCAGTGCAGAGCACTTCTAACTAAATTTCATTAACCTCTAGAGGCAAAAATCTCAGCTATTGATATCTTAACGTTTCAGCAAATAAAACAAAAACCATGCATAGGATAGATGCCACTAAAGTTAAGTGAGGTTTTTTTCTTATATAATTTGGGTGAACTGATCCGCTAATAAAGGACAATATCTTGGTCTTACAACAGCTCATACAAGGTGATAATGCCTTATGTGATCAGCCCCCCTCATTTTCCCCTCCGTGTCCTCTATCTGGTGAGGTATCAGTCCTGTCCTCCGGGCAACAGAAGGCTGACGTTACAGCACACAAGGCCAGGAGGCCACGTCTTCTGGGAACACCTCTCTCCACTTCCAGCTGGGGGGGTTTCTGCAGTGTCCTCCCCTCCCTGTCATCAGTCATACTGTCTTGTCGTGTACTTTACCTGTAACGGAAACGGCTGCCCTTGAAGAACAGGTTGCTGCTGGACACTGTTCGAACCTGACTTGACTTCTCAAGCCTGATGGAAGAGGAAGGAAAAAAAGAGAGAAAATGAAGCCTAACGCTTAAATAAACAAGGCAAACAGCAAGGGAAACCATTAGTATGTAATTCCACACTCATAAGAATATGCTCCTAATATGATCACACTGTTGAAGCGTGAATATATGTAATCTTTGCTTCCTGAATCCCAGAACAAGAGCAGCAAATAGGATCAAATACCCTGCAATTAAATGATGCATGTCCTCTCCTTGCACTGTAGCGACTGCATCCTTGACGTGGCTCCATACAGTATTCAATATGTTTATATTGTTATAGTAAGTGAGACATTAATGTTTAATGTTTCATTTTGCTTTCAAGTGAAATTCTCCGGAAGACACATAATCTTAATCACATGTCATCTTGCCTTTTAGTTCCCCAGAATCCATTATAGTAAGATCTTAATAAGTGGCAGGCTGATAAAATATTATCAGTCTGCCACTTCAGAGAGTCATCTAAAGGTCACATCATATTAACTCCATCAATGTGTGTGCTAAGCTCTGCCCTTCCCGTGTCCGCTCTTTCTCTCTCTCCATCTGCTAACCCCCTCACCCCCCTTACACACCCTTCATCACCTGAGCCATTAGCCCAACTCATTTTACACAACTCCCTGGCCTCTGAGCTCACAGTTTTGTTTTTTTTTTAATCACCTTTTCTCAGTGGAGAGAGCAGAGAGGACCTGCACTATTATTCATGGCTGCGACAGGGGAGCTATATCTCAGAAGGAGGGCTGAAGTGCTTGCAGTCTCGTGTCAGCGCACACTCATTCACCAAAGGTCAGAGGCAACTCGCACCTCATTTTCCCGCTGAGAAACAACCTGGAGAGAAGGGCTTTTAAGGACACCAAGGTACCGTGACGGTAACCTGCCCAGCAGAGCTCAAGGATGCAGATCATGATAGTGCGGGGGAAGATAAAACATTAGAAAGGAAAGAAGAAATTTGCGGACTCACTTATAGAAAGCTTGGTTCTCCACACCACACTTCCAAAGGTGTTTGCATGCCTCCGGCGTGGGCGCAAAGTATGTCAAGATGATCTTTTCGTCCTGCACGTTGAAAATGAGAGAACGTGCAGGAAAATATAACAAACTGATACAGAATCCGCCCTCCACAGGCAGTGTCATTAGAACAATTCAACAATCCAACAATTCATGCGCTCACCTCCTTCTGATTTGCATACACGTGGAACGTCTTGCCTTCGAACTTCAGTTTGGTCACCTCATTCCTGTCCAGGAGAGAGCGCAGCAACAGTTACACATGCTGCAAGCGGATACAGAAAGCCACAGCTTCTTTAAATATTCATGACAGCCACTTTGAGATCACATAAACAGCCACGGAGCTCCATGTTCGGCTGACAAAACAAATAACTGATTATATTCCCTGCAGACAGCGAATGGAGAGTGTGGGAAACCTGAGCCCTGCTGAATGCAAACAAATAAAGCCAGTATGAATACTGCAAACATAATCAGTCTGTATTAAATATTGTAACAGGAAACCTCTCAGAAAGTAAGCAGACAAAAAAACAAATGTCAAAAAGAAATGCACCATACTGTATACATTTCCAGTTTGTCAATAAAGCATGTTACTATTGTATTATATTGGTATCAAGCTATAGTCCTGGTCCATTGCTGGTGTAATTAGCCATCTGTGCACATGCTAGCCACCAGGTATTGTCACAGGTAGAGGCAGATGGATGAGCTTTGTTGACTGTGACTGTACAGCCAGCTGCAGTGCACATACTGCTTCATGTAGAACGCCCTGCATCTAGAACATGTCTTTCTGCCTCTCTTATGTCATGTGCTGTCTTTGGCTCATATAGGAGAATGCTGCACATTTGGCTCACCATTTGAGAAAATGAACTCTCTTGTTTCCCTGGAGCACCACAAAACCAAATGGTGTGAAGGCGAGGAAAGCTGGGTTCCCAGACACATCCTGAAAGAATTTCCAAATATAACTTAACTACACATTTAAACACAAATAAAAACATAAATCAGACATATGTTTTAGCATGTACTGTATGTATCCCATGAGAATGTCTCAATGTTCAAGGACAGAACAGTTTTTTAAAAATGTTTACTATCTAAAAATAGTACAGCAGTGCTTGAAAAACCTTGCATGGATGCGGATCAACACCATATGTCTCCAGCATCTGGGCTTTCTGCAGGAAATTTCGCTCTGATGTTTCAGGTGTCTGTCCACTGAGGGGGAGCAACAACACACCGAACATCTGTGTCAGTCCACCATAAGCACAACAAAATGCAACACAAACGTTTTGAAAGGCCAAACACTTCTGAGTGAGGCACAAACAAATGAATTCCCGATGATGTGATCAATTTAGAGAGACTGAAAGAAGCAGACACAGGTTATTCCCAAACAAGACCAAACAACTAACAATTAACAAAACATCAGTAGGGGCAATGAAAATGTGGGATGATTTATTCAAAAATCACTTATTATTTATCTCAGTTTCAACTCAGTTACTTACATTCAGGCCTTCAAATCAATGTATTCATAATGAAGCACTGTGTTTACACAGAGGTGAAGAAATAAGAAACCACTAGTGGGCAGCAGAGTCTCATGCTGTTTGTCGTTCCACTCCTATGGCATCAATCATTTTGTTGATGCCATTCTACCTCTATTGTGTCTCACTGTACATCATTAAACGAACAGCCTTTCATCCACAGAGGCTCCTCCACATTAAAAAATGTACTTGGTTTAGTGCAAATAAGAATCAGTTGTGGTTGCTGGATGGGTCAGCGTGTGAAACAAACACTTCTCAGCATGCTTTTATGCCTCTGTCTGTGTGTGTGCATGGACCTGCTCCATCTGATCACTCCCACTGGTCATTATTATCTCGGCCAGGCATCATGCGTTAGGTCGTGTGTGTGTGTGTGTGTGCATCTGTCCTCAGCTAATCACGCATACAACAGAGCCCATCAACCTAATATTTTTTGTGCACATTCATGACTGTATGTTCAAGGACCTCTCGTGGTTGCGGTGATTCACGATTTTTGAAAAACCTATTTCATTGGTCTGTTTTATACCGGTTGGTAGGTAAGTTCATTAGTTACATTAGTTAAAATTAGGGAAGGCAACGTTGGAGGAACTAGCAAGAGACAGCTAGATTTTCAGCCCTCCCTCCAAAGCCAGTCCACCAAAACACATTTTCAGGCGCAGTGATTGGGGTTGCCCGATCCATGCCGCCTGCCTGATTCATTCTGAGCATGCGCGTCAGGTTAGGGTTAGGGTTGGGCAGTGTCGTAAAAGGTGTTAAAATCTGTGCATGCGGATTGGGCAGGTGGCACTTAAACTGTAAAGGGATGTAAAGAGAACTTCAACAAATTTAATAAATACTTCTTCTGAAATAAATTGCCTACCCTAGCCTAGTTACCTTTTAGTTAAATATGGTACATAAGTTTATTAAGTTAAAAATACTGTAAGTCAATGTTGACTTTTGGTTCCACATGGGACACAAATAGCTCCACAAAATTCTCACGTAAAATGACACGCTTTCTCTGCGCAATGTAAGTTAGTATAAACTAAATAGTGAAAAACACAAAAAGGCATTGTGATAACACACAAAATAACACATTGGCTTGTTATTCATACACCATTTGGTGATACCAGGCCTGGCGAAGAGTGCACTCTTCTATTTGTGATCTGTGGCTCTGCCAGTTGAAGCTGGGGCTAGGACCCATCACTAATAACTGTTAATAATAATAAAGGGCAGGCTATGAGCTCAAGACAATCTGACTGGAGTGGATAGTGGAGAAGAGAGTGCTTTTTTTCTCCACTATCTGCTCAAATAAGCGACAATAATCTGTCTGGCCAACCCAATCCAGACAAATGGTGCCCATTACTGCAGTCAATTACATAAATGTCAGAGGAAGCCTGGTGTTTGCTCAGCGTGTATGAGTGTAGGATCTGCAGTTATGTGAAAACAAGAGAGACTGATAGTGGTGGTACATATATTTTGGTTCTACATCAGCTCTGTCTTGTGTATGTCTGCGATCCGGCGCTCCAGCTTCTCCGAATGTTTAGGGAAGAACTGGAATTTGGAGCTGTAACCTTCAGGGTGCTTCCCAGGGTCGTAATCACCAATCTCAGCTGGAGGAGCAGACAAAAAGTGAAATGTTAAACATATTCACAAACATTCAGAGCAAATACAAGTTAAAATGCTGTCTGCAGTTTTCAGCACAGCGGTACTTGTCTCAGTGGAGACAGGATGAACATGCCCAGGATTATTTGTGTTCCTTCATGGCACACTGCACTCCCTCGGATGACCCTGATGCTGATTTCTGTCTGCACAGAGGAGCTGACCAGGCAGCCCATCTTTAATTCATCAGCCCCTCCTCCAGAGGACCTGTGTCTCCTCAAACACTGCACTTTCTGTGATGTTAGCTGTGCCAACATACCTTATGCAGGTTTGTGTGTATGTCTGTGTTGGTGCATGTGGTGAAAGGATGATAAGATGCCAAATAACCACTTCAAAGTCTTTATAATTGAGTGTTATTTCTTGTTTATTACAGAATGTGAAAGTCACTTAAGTACTGAATAACCTTTCATGTTTTAGAGCCGTTTTCAGTATGGAAATTCACATCCGATGAGCATGAAATGCCTACTAAAGATGGACAATCTTATGCGTGATTAAATTCGCACTGCAGGCATATTGTTTAAGGAACAATACAATGTACATTCTCCCCTAATTTGGCTTATTTCAACATCAAAGTCTTTTTGTTTGGCTGGCAGAATTTATCAGATTGGTGAACTACAGGGCATGGTAAAACAGAGGTCGTGAACACAGTGCGAAGCAGAGAGTGGTGCAAGTCATTTCCAACTGTCACCATTACCTTGAAGGATATGGGCAGCCAGCATGGCCGCATCCGAGGTTTTACACAGGAGCCGACCGTGGTAGAGGTCTCTCTTGATTTGCAGGAAGACGAGATATCTTATAAAGCAAAGGACAAACATCATGTCAGACGCTCTGACAGGCCTGCTTATAAGAATACTGATGGTTTTCATAAATACCCACCAAACCACTCATCCAGTTACACTGCTCAGTGAAAACACAGATGGAATAAAATAATACGACAAGACAGAGCAGGAGCAGCAAAACAATAGACCTGATGAACCTCCGAGGCTGTTGAGTTCATGTTCCCTAAGGGTGGTTTGAATATTTCTTTATGATTTAGCTGAAATGATGGTTTTGTTTTGGAGGGAACAAAAGGATAGGAGGCCCTGAGGGCAAAAAATGCCACAGACAATGTGCTTCTCTTGAAGCCTCCAGCCTAGTTTCAGAGTCACCCAACCAATTTAGCTCCTAAAGCATGAATTTACTCCGAGACAACACCTGAAGCAAATATCGTGATGATGATGCTGATGACTATTATTATTATCATCATTATTTTTATTATTACTAGAGGTAAGAACAACACAGTCAGTGAGACTATTAAAATTCTTCTTTTACACCCTCCTCCCCAGTCTTGAACAGGAAATAAGACATGCATCCCATTGTTTTTCCCCAATCAGCCAGAGAGATATGCTTCCCTCTATCTAGGCCATTTTCACAAATGCAAATTGTGCTTCCTTTGCTGAGAAATGCATAAAAAATTGTTGACATTTCCCATTGTTTTAACTGTATTACAAAATATATGTACTATACATAAAAACTTACTTCACAAGTTATTTCCCCTTTTTCAGTTTTACAGTACTTAGTAAAGTAGTAACTAAATGTCAGTTGAGCGAAATAACGTGCACCTGGAGAGCCCTTTTCTTATTAATTCTCTTTGTTTCCTCTTTATTTGACATTACTTGTACACTCTGTCACACTGTCATGGCCTATTGGGACACTCGAATAGAACACTATTAATTTTATTAGTAACACCTGTGCTTTTCCTACTTTGTCAAGTCAAAATGCCTGCTGTGGTTTATAATAACAAAGACATCACTATGTTTTATAGAAAAGATGTCTTTAGCTTTTTAATATGGCATTTCGCTTTCCCCTAAAAACCCCTGCACAATATGACAAGAGTGAGCCCCTACTGAATGTATGTGATTGATTATTTACCCTCTCCCTCCCTCTGTGGTCTGCCCTCTCCACTCTCATCATCATGTATCACTCTCTCCCCACCTTACCCCCACCTCTCTAGCCTTTCATTCCCTCCACTCTCAATCAGCACCCTTTGCCCTCCTATCTCCTCTATCCGCTCTGTTCATTATGCACACTCTACATGTGGTGCACATTTCATCTCATTACACCTCAGAGAGAGAGCGGCGTCCTCTCCCTCTGGTCAGTGATGAATATATTGGGTACATGCAGACATATACCTGCTGTTCGCTCTTAGTTTTCATTTGCCACTTTCACATTTCTGCAAATTAGTTTGAAAAAAAAACATTATGGACCCCATTTATTAGGAATTACCATGGAAAAAAGACATCTGCATTTATACACAGAAATCTGGAGACTAAGCTACTAGGGAAGGCTTTTACATTTCTCTCTGCTCCTCTTGCAAACTGTGTTCTGTGTAATATTTATCATAATGTTTTAGACAATAAAGTACTCAGGCATTTTAATTATGTTTTAGAAGGAGACATGTTTGCTCTGTCTAAAAATGTTGAAGCACAACTACTAGAAGTGCCTCCATAAACATTTAGTCTCTGTCCCTTACTGTTAAAAGTGATACGAGATGTAAGCTGTAGAAAAGGAGAAAAAAAGACCCTTATCAACTCATGAAGTTGAAAGCAACACCAGCAAGTCATACCGAGTGATTTCCTCCTTGAGAACAGCAGGCTCAGGAGGGTAGAACTTGACTCTCAGACACATGGTAAATGGAGGCTGAGCTGGAAGAAACAAACACAAAACAATTAAGAAATGGACTGGAATCTTTTCATTGAAGGAGATCAAACAATCAATAGGGGATTGAGGGAGACAGCCAAACTGACTCATAAATTAAAAGATGAAATGTCTGGCACCAACAAAGGGTACTCTAATATCTAAAAGCTTATTGGTACAGCAACCAGTTGATTGTCTTGATCAGTCTTCTGCTATTCTTTCCCTTTACTTACTAACTTACTCTGGGTTGTACCTATCTACCACATGCTATACGGTGGCATTATTTATTGTGTATATATTAATTTTATAAGATTATCTATTTCTAAGCTGCCTTTTTAACATCTGGCCAGCAACATAAGAAAGCTAAAAAAACTTAATTCCTAAAAATAAATATAACAGTGATTGTTCAAAATAGTAATAATTAATAATTAATTAATAATAATTTATTTATTTTTTCTCACTTACTCTGTAAAATGTCACAAATAATGACACTCGCCCTCCACCTGCATCTTTTTTTCTGGTTAAATATTTAAAAAGCATTGAATTTAAAGTTATGACAAAAGTTGCACTTATTTAGATAATTTACTTAATAATTTACTTACAGTTTTAAAATACTCCATTACAAGTAATAGTCATGCATTAAACATGTTACACACAAAGTGTGTCAAAAGTATTAAAGTATAAAGAAAATGGTCCCCGTGAATGTTTTAATATTGTATAGTATATTACTGGATTATTTTTACTGCTGCAATGGTACTTGTAAGCTGCATTTAATGTTGTAGTTGATCAAGGTGGAGCTATTCTTAACTTCCTCATATTCTGTTTGCTAATTCTGTTCAATTCAATAACAAGCTCATATGAGGTTTTGTGTGTAAAAAAAGCACGATATTTGCCTAACGTAGTGAACAAAAAAGAAAGAAGCATAAAACGGAAATAAATAAATAAATAATAAAGTACTTCAATGACTTAAATGGTTAATCAATTATCAGTGTTCGCGCTGTTTCATTTTCTGTTGCTAAATCAACTCCTCAGATATATGAAGTCATTCATGAACATCAGTGCCGACATCATGTATAAGACGAAGGATTTAATCGCCCAGCTTCCAAAATTAACATAAACTCAAAGTACTTACATTTCATTTGCTTTGCAATTGATTTGGTGAACTCCAGCCAGTGCTGCATTAGAAAGATAAACAAGATAAATGCAATGAAATCAATGTCTCTGAGTAACCCACACAACAAATCTTTCAGCCGACACTTTCATATCAGTTGCCATGACGTTCAGCTGTTACTACTGACAGTTCAGGAGAAACCTGTTCATGCCACATATGGTGCTACAACAGCATTGATCGAACAATATGCACAATGCCAAAGCTGCATTGAATATAAAGAGTTTGTGGGCTTTTCTTTTGAAAGCATGACAGCAGAGGTCTTTTAGAGGGCTGATTACACATCAGTTAGTTCCTACCGGTGGTGACAATTACACAGGCTCTGTGTGTCCACAGCCAGATTCAGACCCTTCATTCTCTCTGGGAGCATATTCTCTCTCCATCTTTTTCCCAGGTTGCCTTCTCGCCAACCCAACCCACCCACGGCAACAGCCACTAAAATAGTCCTGAGTGACAGCATGGGAAATGCGGCATCAGCAGGACTTGGCTGTTGTCTGCAGGACTACAACATGATCTGTGAACATGTGAATACTTTATGAATCAAGCAGTGCTCGCTACATGCCTCCCAGCAGAAGAGCCTGATGGAACAACCGTCAGTCTGAAAGAGGCGTGAATAAGAGAAACTGAAGAACACAGCTTTTCACTCTGGACCACAGTCTTACTCTCACTCTTCCAAGTAAATCAAATCTGATCCATTTTTTAAAATATATGTTATTAATGTATATTTTTTTATATGGACACAAAGCAATGCAGTCATTCTGAGCTCACATTCAACAACTTATACTTGTAAAACATTGGAAGCAGTCGATATAACAAGGTTTCAAACTTTGTTAGATGAGAAGATTAACGCCCTTCTCATTCCTGTGCGTTAAATATGAAGCTTTTAGCTTGGCTTAGCATCAAGACTGGAAGCAGGTAGAAACAGCTGGTCTGACGGAAAGTTCAAATGTACGCCTACAGAGAACCTATAAGGCTCATTAATTAGCCTGCTGTAGCTTTTTTGTTTAATCCAGACAAAAAACATAAATGTAAAAGCAGCAATTTGTGGTTTTCTTCCAGTGTTGCTATTCCTTTAAACCAGCACAAATGATACCTAATGACAAGACTGGTTACTTCAAACTAATCACAAACTTGAGCAGAGCTGCAACAATATTAAGTTTCATAAACTAGATTCGGGAACCAAGACCACGCCTTGAACTCACCTAATTTCCACACACCAAGTATTTAAGCACACCTCCCCTTGACTCAGCTTTCTCATCCCTCCCACCCAAACCCCCTTCTTTTGCTTTTTCTCTCCCTGCTCCCTTCTCTCCCCTTGTCTGCTTACAGGAACCGGGTTTTTTTTTACTCGTCCGCTGACGAAGAAACGGCTCCCCCACCCAGAGTCTCAACTCCGCCAGTTCCCGTAACTTCACATGCAGACACCGGTCTGCTCTTCATGCCCACGGATCGGACTCTTCTCCCTCGTCCCTCACCCGTCTTCCCCTCAACCCATCCACTCATCCATTCACCATCATCCCCCGACCCTCTCCCCCATCCCTCAGCCCACCATCCGGGCACTCGATCCGTACTCTCCATACGATCCCATCTCGAGCTCTATCATAAGCAATAAATCTTTTCAAATCTACATCTTCGCAGGGGTGGTCTTCGTTAGTGAATAGTTGCTTAATGGAATAGTTGTATACTATTTAGATAATCACAGTTTTATGGACCTAACAACTAACTGATTAATCGAGAAAATTAAATGATAATTAAAATAATAATTAGTTGCAGCCCTAAACTTGACCCCTTACACACACACACAAACACACACACACACTTACCCGCTGCTTGTCTGGATCTACATATCTGATGCCAAAATAGTCTTTCTCCAGCAAGTTGAGGTGATGGCAAATGAGGTCAAACAGATACTGTCCCTTTGCATCCCGCTGTAATAGAAGAGAACCAAAAAAACAACACAAATTCAGCAACCATCCCCAAGACAACAAATCACAAACATATTTGAACATGTAGCCAGGAAAAGATTCAACAAAGAAAAGGCACTGTCCTGAGTTCAAACATGAGAAATAATTCCTGCAAGCAGAATGTGCTTCAGATTTCTTAAAACCCTGCCAGAGATATCTCAGATTCATCAATATTAATACTCAGCCAGAGCCATCCCAAGAGTCTGGAATAAACCCTGTCCACAGCTAAAAGAGGAGCTCAAAGAGAGGGTGGATTAAATATGCTGAGATCTCATTGGGGTTTAGCTAATACTGCATTTATTTATATTGCATTCTGAACCTCATGAGGAAGCTTCCCTTACAGAAACACTGCGTACACTGCAGCACAGATAGGAGCCTGGGCGTCCTCCTCCATTCACAACAATGTATCTGTATGACGCTGATGAACATCCTGGCTCAAACTAGAACATTTGGATCAGACTGGAACAGATTTTGTTGAAGAGATCCAACAGTAGCACATATTACTGTTTGAAAGGTCCTGTAGCATTCACTGTTTAGAGACTCTTCTCAAAAGATGGCAGGACAGATGCAAATTAAGTTCTGTTCTTTAACATAATCAATTGCATTCCCTGTGGAAGAGTTGTATACACCTATGACGGATGTAGATATAATTTGCAAATTAAGTACATTAAGCCATTAGCCAGCTAGAGTAATAAGTGACAGAACTTCGACTAATCAGCCACACAGTGCAAATCAGTGTCAGTCACTGTGAAGAGTTAGGATCAAGTCTGTTAAGTCTGTCAATTTAAACTGATGAGAAAACATAAAAACTCAAACTGTACCATTATATTTGGAAAAAAACTCAATAGGCAAAACTGAAATTTTCAGTCAGTTGACAATAGGGGATCTCATAAAGTAACATGTCTTTTGGGAGGTCACATACCTCAAAATAGTTTTAATTAAATAAGTAAAACTGCTGTCTGACATTTCAGCAGCTTGACTTCTGTGCCATTAAAGATGCATGGGATGAGGTAGGAAGACGGGTGTAATCATGTGATTAATACCAGGGACACAGCAAATATTAAACCTACAGTGCTGTTTCTGTTCTGTTGTAGTTATATGTAGTTATATGTGTGTTCATGTGTCTGTTAAAGCTGTACTAATCTACATTTTTATTTGAACAACGGGACAAATGACGATGTGTAATGTGGAAGGTGTCGTTTGCCTCTGCAGTTCCCTTCAGCTCTATGAAGCATTTTAGCGTCTTCAAGCCCATTGTTTAGATTTTCTTGCACAGGCCCGCAACTTCACTATTTTTGTTTACTCACATCTCTCTCATCAACCTTATATCCATCTACTCCAGGCAGCAGCCACAGCAACAACAAAAAAAGCTCATATGAACCCACTGTAGGTTGCTGGTGAAGAAATTGTGCTTTTGGCAGAAAGAGTCAAATGGTGGAGACCAAAACAGAGCTTAAACAGAGTGATTATTGGACTTATGTTATGCAAGTCGTTATGGGATTTTCATAAACAACCAAGATGGCTGCCGCTGATGTGCAACTGCTTCTGTTGAACAAGCATGTCATTATTAAACAAACTGAACCGTACATTTTCTCTAAAAGAAGAACAACTGCACTTAAAGCTTTTATTGATAAAAAAGTGTTGCTGAACTTCCAAAGTTTAATTTACTAACTACCCTACACCCCAACGTTTTGTTGCTGTGATTGGTTGTAGGTCTATCCAATTGTGTCCAGAGGCGTTTTGCTGCACCCACTGATAACGCCCCATGAAAATCATAAAACCAAGAGGAATGCCAGGCTAGCTGTTTGTGTTACATTCACACTGAAAACAGATTTTAAAACGATACACAGCCCTATTCATGTCCATGTCTAAATCACATGTTAGCTGCAGGCTGCTGAACAGCTCATATTGACTAATGAGGAGGTCAGCTAAGGTCAGGGTTTTAGAGCAAGTAGGCCGTCTCACTCCTCTCCTTCCACTCTCCCCCTGCTCGTTTACCCTGTGATGGCAAAGTGTCACTAGCAGCACTCTCCTCCAAGTCATTATTCAGGCTGCACATAACAGGCACTTCATTAGGACAAAGGCCTGTCGATGCTGGGCATGTCCCTTAACTGCCATGACTCTCCGTAACCAAATAGCGATAGGAGCTCTGCTACTGGAGGTAACTGACCTTTGTGTAGAGAGACTGAAGGGCTTCATGGATGCTTGCCACTGTCACTTCGAGACTAACCAATCTGACGCGTCTGCTAATTTACGGGGCATCGATAAAATGAAGACGCTAGGATCACATTCCACATTTATCCTTCTTTCTTGGCCATGTATAAAATAATCTGCTAAGCCTACGTAATCTAAATTAAAGTAAAGATCTTCAGAATGTATGCACTTAAATACAAAAATGACACAGTGAAAGCTAAAAAATTGTGATGTTATTAGAGTGTAAATATATAGGGAGCAAAAAAGGCAACCACAAACCAGACACACTGAGTCAGGACAGACATCTGTTCTTTTGTTGCAAGCAAAGGGAAAGTTTGTTAGTATTCAACAGCACTCCCTCCCTCTGCCCCCCTTTCTTGCTCCCCTGTGTCCCCTACCTCCGTCTCTGCCCCAAGCCGAGCACAGCTGCATTATTCCCCCGCTATTCTCTCTAATTACAAGATTGAGGTGATTGCAGGAGAGAAAGGATGTCCTGAAATTTCTAATTAACACTAATGAACCTTTTCTTCGCCTAGATTGGCATCTCAATATAGCTCTACAGGAGTCTCAAAAGATTTCCAAAAGGTATAGCTGGTTTAAAGGAGTGTTCAAACAACCAGGTTACCAAGTGTGACCCTATTTACATCATTCAATCCCACTGTGTTGCATTTGTTGAATAAATAGGCACAACCTCGAACCTTGTATAACCTCCCCACGAATAACAAAAGTGAATAAATAAACTGTGAGAGAAGAATAGGATCAACTGTGATTGCGCAAAAGTAACAACAAGCCTGCAATGGGGGTGGATTTGTTCACTAGGGAGATCACCTGTCACTGCCAAATGTCCCTGTTATACAGAAAAATTTTGAAATAATAAAACTTCAAACAGCATTACTGAATGATTTCTGTTGAGAAATCATTCAAGAGATGTTGCCTGATGCTGAGGCAATAGAGGTAAAAAAAAAAAAAAAAAAGAAGGTTGTATTCAAAAAACAAATGTTATGTACAGTACATGAAAAGATCAGTCTTGTTCTGAAAATCCAGAATTCATCAATAATGCAATCTTTATCAACACAGTCTATAAAGGGCTGATTGAGCCTGGTTGCCTACTCCAAATCAGAAAGATGTTTTAATTTATTTCCAACCACATTAGATCCTTTTGATTCATCTTGTGACCCATTATCGGGGGTCCTAATCTCTACGTTGGGAAACAATTTGTTAATAGATTTAATACTCAACGATTTCAATATATATGCTTGAAATACTCTGTGACCAATTAATCTCCATCCAAGAATTAATTCAGTCACACACTGTGCATCATGGTATGTTACCAACAACCAAATGTGTTTGCATCCCTCGCAGGCTGATGGGCATCTGAGAAACACACAAAATAATTAGAAAGATCCTTCTGGCATGCCTCTTGCTGAAAACACAGTGGTTCTCTTTCCTCTGGTGTACAATGGACACGTTCCTTTCAGATTAATCATTGAAATGGTCTCCATGTCAACGCAGGAGCACAGACCATTAATAAAATATTGTATCACTTTATAGTGAAGAGTGGGAATGTGATGCTATTGATGGAGTGTGTGTGTGAGCAGTGTAAGGCTAAAGGTACCTAGAAAACCTGAGGTGATTTCTTTCTTTACTCCCAGGAGGTTGAGTGGTCGCACTGGTTAATGTGTCGGAGCGATTCAGACTCCTGACCGAGCTGCATGGAGTTCAAGTCATGACCTTGCCATATCAGCTGGGACTGGGAGCACACAAAGGCCAACTCACAGCCACTTACAGTTAATATGAAGCTCTCTTTAGAGTATACTGTAAAATCAGTGTTGTTGCGATTAAGCCTATATATATACACGAGGATGAATTTGAGTTTAAAAATATTAAAATATATACACTATATCTTTTATATTTAATAGATTGCTTGTTTGTTGTGATTGAAGTCAACACTATTTGTTGATTTTGCCATAAATGTGACGTTCAGTACGGGTATGGGTTAAACATGCAGAGAGTAAGACAGCATTACTGGCAGAACGATTAAACTAAGCATGATCGCCATCTTAATCATGTGTTGCCGAGAATATGATAAAAACATGCAGAAATTCAGAAAATGGTATTTGACTTAACAAACACACATACACTTTTCAAACCAATACACGACGTGTAAATACTCCTCTCCAGTTAACTCAGTGGCTAACAGAAAGCAAAAAAAGAGTTCTGTGTCTTTAATATAAGACTCTTAAAAACTTCCCTCTCCCATTGAGCCACAACCAGCCAACAATTATCACACTCATTAGCTGAGGAGGACCGGACCAGATGAGGACAAAATGGGATTTCTGAGAGGAAATAACTTAATCAACGACATCAGCCTCACAGGAATCCACTGGTCAGCAGGAGGGAAAGAAATTACAAGCTTAATCTGATATCATATGATACGTTTAAAGAAATGGTGAGGCCAAATACTCCATAAAATGCAATAAAACTAAATGGCCTATCTCCCCAAGGTGTGGAACCAATTGATCAGCTTATGGTTAAACATTTGCCATTATTGTAGCAGCTCAATGGCAGCTCTTAAATAGGGTTATTAACTTATGTGCAACCCTGGGCAGTTAAAGGAGACACAGAACATGTAATAGATAGTGACACAATATCTCAAGAGTGATTAAAAAGCTTCACTCAGACTATTCTAAATCATCAATCATGAAATACGGACACTAAAGGGACATGACAACATTGACACCCGATGTCAGTTTGATGCCTCGAGGAACAGT